ATCTATCTAATTTACCATTTTAGAAAGAGAAATATACTATTAAAAATATGAAAGAAAACATTGAAACAATGAAAAGAAGAAGAAGAAGCATCTCTGTAAGTAAAGCAATTAAATGATATATTAATAAACAAATTAGCACTAGAAATGTTTACGTCAACGAATCTTAACTGATCGGATGGTTTGGTACACTACCACCAACCCTATTCCATAATTCAAAAGAAGGACAGGGAAGAGATTAAAGGGGAAAGAAAGGTAGAGAGAGAGAGAGACAGAGAGAGAGAGAGAGACAGAGAGAGAGAGAGAGAGAGAGAAGGAGAGAAACCGGTTTGAAAATTTCAACTAAAAGGCAAAATAAGCAATCAGAAAATTAAATCTCAAGGATAAAATTTTGCCAGCAGCATCAACATTAACATTAACCATAGCAGCAAATAGCAGCAGCAGCAGCAGCAGCAGCAACAACAGCAACAACAACAACAACAACAACAGCAATAGCAACAGCAGTAGTAGTAGCAGTAGCAGTAGCAGTAGCAGTAGTAGTAGCAATAGTATTATTATTATTATTATTATTAGTAATAGTAGTAGTAGTAGCAGTAGTGGGTAACAACCATCCATCCATCCATCCATCCATCCATCTATCCATCCATCNNTCCATCCATCCATCCATCCATCCATCCATCCATCCATCCACCCACAGAGAGAGGTAAGATGAGATGATGAGGGTGAGAGGTAGGACAATAACGCTGTCAATAATATGGTTCTCCTCCTATCGGTTTTATTCAACTCCTCTCTTTCCATCTTTCATCCCAAGGGGACATGACATGTATGTGTTAGATGATATTGTCACCAAATGAATTTTGAAAAGTTGAAGAAAAGGGACAACAAGACTATACTACTGTAAATGGATTGAACTACAATGAAAATGATGATTGTTTGTTAGTACTAGTAGGAGTAGTAATAGTGATAATAATTAGTAACACAAATAACAATTATTCATTGAACAAACATTTTAATCTTTTTTCTTTCATTTTCATTTAATTTAATTTTTAGTTAGCAGTAATAGCAAAAGTATTGTTGTTGTTGTTGTTGTTGCTGTTATTGTTGTAGTAATAGTAATAGTAATAGTAATAGTAATAGTAATAGTAATAGTAATAGTAATAGTAATAGTAATAGTAATAGTAATAGTAATAGTAATAGTAATAGTAGCAGATAGTGGTTAGCAGCAACAGTAATAGTACGTGGTAGTGATAATAGTAATAAGTAGTTGTGATTAGCAGTTAGCAATAATAGTAATAGTAGTAGTGGTAATAGTAATAAGTAGTTATGATTGGTAATTAGCAGTAATAGTAATAACAGTAGTAATAGTAATAGTAGTAACAGTAGTAGTAATAGTAGTACTAGTAGTAGTACTAGTAGTAGTAGTACTAGTAATAATACTAGTAGTAGTAGTACTAGTAGTACTAGTAATAGTAGTACTAGTAGCAGTAGTAGTAATGGTAGCAGTATTAGTAGCAGTAGTAGTAATACTTTTTTCTTTTTTTTGTAGTTAGTAGTAATAGTAGTAGTAGTAGTAGTAGTAGTAATAGTAGTAGAAGTAATAATAGTAGCAGTAATAATAATAATTAGTTTCTAGTAGATTAACAGTAATTAATATAGCTAATAATTAGTAGTTAGTTTGTTATATACTATAAAATATTATAAAAATACAAATATATATAGTTGTATATTCGTTTATGAAATATAGCTAGAATCAATGGAAGGAAAAGTTGTATAAGATACAATCAAAACAAATTCAAACTATTTTTGCTTTTACGAATGAAATTAAATGAAATTCATTTCATCACATATTTTTGTTTCCTTTTTATTTTTCTCTTTCTCTCTCCTCTCTGTCCCTCTCCCTCTTCCTCCTTGAAAAATATGTAAAAAAAAAATGAAATGGCTAAACAGTAAAAATAAAAATGAACTCACATGGATGAAAAAAAATAATGTTGAATTATAAATACTGATATAGCATTAATAGTTAAATTCACTGAACAAACATTTTAATCTTTTTTTTTTCATTTTCATTTAATTCTGTTTAAATTTGCTCTTTTTTTCTCTTTTTTATTTCAGTATTTAATTCCCATTTAAATCATAGAGGCAATTAATATATTTCAACGAGATGTCCTTATTTTCAAAAAACCGTCTAACTGATAATAATAAACTGAGATAATAATCCATTATTTCAAAACAATTATTATTCAATTATAATTATCAACAGCAGACTGATAGATTTGTTTTTTTAGTATGAAATAAAATGAAATAAATTTTTGTTTTTATTTTTTTTTTTCCTCGCAGTAAAAAATTAAAAAAATAAATAAGCTAACTTTGACAGTAAAAACAACAGTAATTTAAAGAAAAAAAGTAATAAAATAATAAACATTAAAATTAATAAAATGTAACATAGAAATATGTTTTCATATTATTTTACATTACATATAAATGTTGAAATAATTGATGCTATTTTAAAACTATTATATGTATTTCAATTGAATAGTATGAGAAAATTTTTCATCCTGTTTTCAATTCATAACATGAATTGTCAATCAAAACAGATGCCATGAAAGAATGGGTAAAATGATAGAAAGAGAGAGAGAGAGAGAGAGAGAGAGAGAGAGAGAGAGAGAGAGAGAGAGAGAGAGAGAAAGAGAGAATGAAGAAAAAATATCAGTAACGAAATTATATTTGCTATTTTACGTAGACATTTCTGTAAGTGAGAAAACGAGAGAGGTATTTTACACTTTTAAAATTATTCTTACATTTCTTATTTATTTATTTCAACATCACAATAAAAGTCCTTTCTATTGTTGCTTGTTGTTTAATGTTTCTTGCCATTATTGCCATCATTGTTATTGTTTACCGTTGTTATTTTTTACTCTTGCTATTGTTTACTGTTGTTATTGTTTGTTGTTGTTATTTTGTTGTTATTTTGTTGTTGTTTTGTTGTTGTTTTGTTGTTGTTTTGTTGTTGTTTTGTTGTTGTTTTGTTGTTGTTTTGTTGTTGTTTTGTTGTTGTTTTGTTGTTGTTTTGTTGTTGTTTTGTTGTTGTTTTGTTGTTGTTTTGTTGTTGCTTTGTTGTTGTTCTGTTGTTGTTTTGTTGTTGTTTTGTTGTTGTTCTGTTGTTGTTTTGTTGTTATTTTGTTATTATTTTGTTGCTGTTTTGTTGTTGTTACCGTTGTCGCTATTGCTGTTGTTGTTATATTAGAAGTACAATATATGAGGAAATTACAAGAAATTCAAAAATTGTTTCTTTCCTAATTATTCTTATTTGCCTAATAAAAAAAAAAGAAAAAAAGCAGTATTTACTGCTTGTAGTACATCACAAATAAAATCAAATGACTTCATAAAAGAATAAATTATAAAATAATATCACTTAAATTCGAAACATTATATTAATTCAAAGAAAAAAAGAATCCGAAGGTTTACAACAACTAAAAAGGGCAACTTAAATTAAGAATAGAAAAAACCGGATAATTTTACATAATTGCCGAATTTTTTAAATCTTTAGAATTATCATTTAAATCTTCAAAATATCTAATATTATTTTCTTACACTTAATGTTACTTTTTTCTTGCAGTATTAAAAAAAAGAAACAAAAAATTTTAAAAAAGCAAATAAACATTTTAAATGATGTGTTGATACTTGCTGTAATGATAGGATTTAAAAATGAAATAGTTGAAATACTTAAACTTTTTATCTCCTTTAAAATGTTACACATACACACATACACACATATACACACACACATAGACATACACATACACATACACACACACACACACACACACAAATGTACGTTATAAGAAGTGATTGGAAAAAAGGAAGTAAAAAACAATCTGACATTATTGTTTTCAGATTTTAAAATTTTGAAAAATAAAATTTAAAGAAAAAATTCATGTTTCATTTCTGTTTATAAATAATATTGTTTATACAATAATATAACATTTTTGTTTATGCAACAATATTGTGTATTATTATACACTAGAAGGAAAGAATTTGAAGATTAAACGTACTTATCTAATATGGAAAGGAAAGAAGGAGAGCAAGGGGGAGAGAAAGAGAGAAAAGACAAATAAGGTAAAAGATTAAATTTTCAAAAAATAGTTTGAGAAAAAATTCGAGAAAAATATATAATGAGAAATAAGGGAAGTAAAAGTGAAATAAATATATTATACAAATTCTTTTATGAATACTTCAAATGTAGAAATCTTAAAAAAAGACCAGGTGAAAATTTCGAAATGAAACTGAAAAAGTGACTGTTCCTAATTATAATTATACTACTTCAGAATAAGTAATATGGGAAAAGTATGCAAATTAATTTGTTTAAAAAAACTGCATAATTTTAAAATATTATGGATAGAAAAGGAATGAAATTGATAACTTTTTACATTTATCACATAATTCAACGTAACTGGAAAAGACAGAAAAAAAAATAATTTATTTTCCAAGAAAGTTAACTCTAATAAAAATCGTTAAAAAATGCCGCAATACTTTAAATTTGACAAAAAAACGGAAAGAAAAAAATAAATTTGAAAAATCAACAACACTTCATTTTTAAAACTTTTGAGGAGAAAATTTGAATAATTACCTTTTTCCTCTCACTCTCCCTCTCTTTCCTCTTTATCCTTTCCTTGCTTCTTTCATTCTCCTCCCCGCTCCTGTCTTCCTCTCCCGATGATACATTTACCGCCACAAGCAACAATGTAACAATGTAAATATGAAATAGTAGGAATGATTTTGTTTTTTAAAATTTTTATAGAAACAAATATTTTCTTCTTACCTTTATTTGATTTGTACTTCTTCCCGTACTTCCTGATTTTCAAATTTATATTAATTAAATAGAAACAACATTTTTAATTACATACATAACATGCTATATGCTGCTATTACTATTACTATTAATTTATTAAACTATCATTATTTATTTGTTATCCCCATTTATTTATTTATTGGTATTATCATTATCATTATTATGCTAATGATAATGATAATAGTAATACCAATAAATTGTTTATTGTTTACTGTTTATTGTCTATTGCTTATTGTTTATTGCTTATTGTTTATTGCTTATTGTTTATTGCTTATTGTTTATTGCTTAT